TCCCTTATTTGGCTTTGAGAGAATTTGCCATGCCTCCTAACAAATGGCCAGAGTCATCTGTGAAAGGTAAGCCGAGAGGAAAATGGACAGATCTGTCCTTTCTGGATATTGCATGCAGGATAAACCATATCCACGGCACATACGGCATCTACGAAGCCCAGATATCTTTCGTGATCTGTGGCTCTGATTATTCCAGATGGACTGGCTACGCCTTTGTGGACACTGGCTTCAATGACTATTGTCGCAGTAGTGAAGACCATGCGGACGAAGAAGAGGATGAAGACGAAGAAGAAGAAGAAGATGATGATGATGGTGATGATTGGGGAGTATTGAACGAGGATCCCGTCGCATTTGACGGAGTAGGCCAGAAAGTTGGCGTTACCGAGCCAATGTTTAATCCACGCCACTATTTCCTTTATATAGTCGATTCCCGCATGAAGCAGGTGTTACAAGAGTGGACATATCTCGTCCGCACGGCGGAGAATTGCGTTGGTAGATGCGTATGTTTCCCCTCCCTCTGAGGCGATTCAAGAGCTCCTCGATTTCCCGCTTGGTTTAACACTCTTATTAGCGAGCCGAACATCCATTTACATTATCAGATAGTGGTTCCTGCGGAGGCCCTAAAGATGTTAGAAGCGCAATTGACTGGACTGTACAAGCCGTAGACCTTCTCTGTCTACTCCGAGGTGTACTTTCCAAGACACTAAAGGCGTGGGAGAGATTCGATGGCTCAAATGGGGACATCAACTATTTTTTGGACGTTGGGGATATTGCAACAATCCGTCTGGAGGGTATAAGAGAAAGCTTTGAAGAACTTATGGACCTGGATCAAAACTTAAGTCACCTACAAGAATCCTGCCGCGAGAGCAAGAATATTGTGAGTCCTTCAACATATTTCGATTGCCCATTGGGCTGACCCAGGAAGCTCGAACTTCGCATGAGTCTCGAGGGCAATCGACTCAATCTCGAGAGCAACCGCTTGAACTTCGAAAGCCACGCTTTGAATCGCAGAAGTCACGAGTTGACCTATCAAGCACGCCTACTGCACCGAGATAGTCATCAAGTGAGCCTCGACACGAATCGGGTCGCCCTTGCAAATCACAAGACCGCACAGCTTGGCTTCTGGGTTTGTCACGTCAATGTGATCAATGTCGCTATTGCTGACTAATTGTATAGATGACTCAAATCCTTGCGCCTTTGGCGATTGTCATAGCCATATTTGGGATGCAACAAGAAATATTCCATTTCAACCGGAATCTGAGGTCCTTCGTTTTTGCCGTTATTGCTTCGATTCTGCTCGTTTGGCTCATAATATTTATCCTCGATATGGCGGTCCGATATTCATGGTTAAAGAGATGCTCTGCTTCGTTCAACCGCCTACTATTCAAGCGGATCAAAGATGGTTAGTTATGGCGTCAGTGATGAAAATGAATGCAGACTGACAAAAACTAGAGGGCCAGCTTCCCCACCCAGGGTAGCAAATTGTTGTCCTTGCCTTCGAAGTATGCTCGATATCGAGCGACTGCCTCTGATCTGAGCACGATGATGGCAGGTGCCCTAAGTCGCCAGCAATAAGGCACGATTGCTACTTTGCTACTGGCTCCTTCTCCCTCTTATTCTGAGATCCAGAGACTCAAACATAGAATTCATGCGAAGGGTTCGGTACCATTAGGCTCGTGGGAAGCCAGTCACGATACGGGGCATTATTTGAGTCCTAATCGGCAACATAGCCAAGGAAAACCTGCACAACTACTGCTTTGCTTTGCTTTCTGCATCCTAGCTATAACTATCGAGGTTAGTCCGGCTGTTTGTAATTACAATGATACATGACCACGTTATATACATTGAACATTCCTTAAAGTCCTACAGAAGCATCTACATCCTTCGGACAAGGCTCCATGACTATAGGCTCGGCAGCTTTCATTAGAAACTCGGCACAGTCACGCCAGTCGACAAAGTCCTCAGAAAGTCGTATTCATCCGTCCAATTAATATTCGTCGAAGCTGGAAGTGGCTATTGCTGTGGTTAAAGGTCTTTGCAGCTTATTCATGCGCGCAATAACCAATCACAGCTGACCACGAGGGTTACAGCGTGGCACACCACTTCAGATAATGAGGCCGAAAATTATTGGCGCAGAGGCATTCAGCACCTCCACTACACAGTATGACCACCCTGTTAGGTGTTAATGTCATCCGCACCCAGCTGCATGGTGCCAGATGACTAACTGTTGCCTCGATAACCTCGAGCAGCTCAGAGACGCCAAAGGCTGCTTCACCCAACTTTCTGTAGCCTTTCTTCTTGCCTCGGAATATTCCTAGGCCAGCCTCTTGTTGGAAGCATGGCTACACCATCAACCTCCGAGCTCGAGCACTCCCTTGAGGGGCTGAACCTGAACACTCCCATTCCGGATTTCGCTTCGGCAAATGTACTAAACCAGCCTCTCGATATCTTCCGCTCATACTTCGCCGATATATTACGCACTATTCTCGATAGTGACCCTGCTGCTACCTACAATGCTATTCAACTGTCCAATAATCCCATCCACGGCGACTTAACAGTTGTACTCCCGAGGCTCCATCTCAGCGCCAAGCCTGCTGAACTCGCTGAAGATATCTGCCAGAAGGTCTGTACTATGCCCGATTTGCTCTTGTTCTCCGTTTTCGCATATATAGGCTAGCTAACTTCTTTCTGCAGTATCCAACCAACACACTCTTTGATCTTCCGTGGCCAGATGGCTTTTATTTACGGGTCTGTATCAAACCTTACACACTTCCCCGTATAATCCTCCCATATATTCACGACCGAAGAGAGTCCTACGGTAACGATTCAGTTCCCGGACTCAATGACTCATCTTTATCCGGTGGAGCGCAGAAGGCAGTGATTGAATTTTCGTGCCCCAACATCGCTAGAGACTTTGAAGGGAAGCATTTGCGAAGCACCGTCCTCGGAGCTTTTGTGAGTAATATCTACAAGAAAAGGGGATGGCAGGTCACGAAAGTCAACTATCTAGGCGACTGGGGTAAGGACATCGCACTACTTGGCGTGGGTTGGGAAAAGTTTGGCTCAGAAGAAGAGTATGAGAAGGATCCGGTGGCCCATCTCCTCGAGGTGTATCACAAGATTCACGAGTTATTCCATCCCGAACAAGTCGCTTACAAGAACGCTCGAGATGAAGCGAAGAAGCATGGACAAGATGAGGTAGAGGCTACTGCTGAGATCGAGGGCAAGGGTCTATTTGCTGAGCGGAATGCATTCTTCAAGAGGATGGAAGACGGAGACGAGCAGGCCGTTGCTTTGTCCAAGCGCATCCGCGACGTCAATATTGATAACTACTCCAAGTTCTACGCTCGCTTGGGCATCACCTTTGACGAATATACTGGAGAATCACAAGTCAATCAAGACATTGTCGCGGAGATCGAACAGATGTTGAAAGACAAGGGAATCAGTGAAGAGGGTGGAGGGGCTTGGGTTATCGACATGACAAAGTACGGCGCACGAGCTGGCCACGCCATAGTTCGTGACAGAAACGGCAGTACCACCTACTTCCTTCGCTATCTCGCGGCGGTAGTAGAACGGTACCGAAAGCAAGAATTTGATAAGATGATTTTCGTTGCTGCCGATAAAACCGCACATTTCTCTAAACTCTTCAAGGTTATTGAAGCGTTGGAGATGAACGAGCTTGCCGGGAAATTGGATCATGTTCAGTTGAGTGACGTTTCACGGATGGCAGAGAAACTGGGCCAAGGATATCAGCCTCATGGTATACTCGACCAATGCGAAAACGGAGCACTAGAAGCACTAAGAACCCACGAAGAGAAAGCGAAAGTGATCGGCGACCCTGAGGAGGTGGCTAGAGAGGTAGGCATCACTGCTCTTCTCGCACAAGAGGCATCCACCAAAAGGCAAGCGGAGCATGCCTTCGACATGAGCACAATGACCTCTTTCAAGTCAGGTACTGGCCCCGACTTACAGTACCAGCATGCTCGACTATGCTCCATTCTCAAGGAACATTCGCGCAATGCGGAGCTGCCTACAGACGAGCTCGGATCACTCGATGAAGAGAAACATACTAACCTTCTCCTACTGCTCGGCCAATATCCTGAAATTATCCAGGCGACGCACAAAAACTTGGAGCCTTCTCACTTCATGACCTATCTCCACGGTGTCGTTGAGCATTTATCGAAATGCCTCGATGACGAAGAAGGCGGGAAGGAAGTAGCAGAAGGGGAGGAGGAAGGAAAGCCAGAGGGGGAAGAACCAAAGGAAGGAGAAAAGATTACACCAGCCCATGCTGCTCTTTATGAAGCCTCACGTATCGTGTTGGAAAATGGGATGAGGCTACTCAATCTCACTCCTGTTGCAACCTTGCAACACGATCGTGTCGATACTCCAGTCGCGGAGTGATACGCTCCCTTGTTCCACTCGTTATTGGCCACGGTATTCGCGTTTAATTTTGTCGCGATACCCTATCTTCATTCCCCCCTCCCCCCCACGTGTCACTAATTCTATGACTGTTTTCCTCATGCATCCTGTCATAATTAGTCATGGTCTCTTGAATCGCGACGATATCCCAGACTGCTTATTTCCATATTACGTTTCAGATCTCGAATCTTTGTTTTTGGGCGTGCGAGCTGGTTCTCAAGTTGGTTAATGAAATTATGAATGACGACCTGATGTTCTAATCCTGTTGATGACGATTGGGGTAAATGGCTCTCCGGCTCATTTTTTTCCCCTCCGTTTCACGGCTCTGAGGCGGTAGACTGTAGATGTCAATGGAGGTAAATTGCCAAATGAATATGATTTGAAATAAATTATGACTCTCCTTTGCAATGGGAGTGGCTAGTAACTCACTGATTCCCTGGCCCAAATCAATCCAAACCAATGTGTTCACAGCACTCACTACACCGCCCCCTTTCCACCCTCGAATGCATCTCGCTTTCTTTCCTGATTAATATCATACATGTACATTTCTTTAATCCTAACTCTGTTAATTAATCAAATCCGTTGTGGTAGTGGTTAGGATTCCTGACTCTCAGACGCCACTACGTAGTATTGGCCATGGTCTCGGAAGGCCGGGGTTCGATCCCCTGCAACGGAATCAAATCCGATCCTGTCTCTATTCTTTTGGTGCTGGCACATGGTGGTGAGGGATAACCAAACTCAAGTTGTAGGTGGAGGTATCTAGGGTATAACTGATAGTTTAGATCATGGGTTCTTTTATTTTGATATTTAGCCTCTTGGTGTGGTTGCTTTCTCTACGCCTAATATTCTTGTATCATTGACTGGAGCTTGCCATTCCAGACGATACCGAATGATTGTGGATTTGATCCTGTAGCGAGCTTCTTGCGGTATCGTCTTCGAAGGAGGCACCAGACTATAGCGACGGCAATGATGAGAATGGTGATGCCGCCAATTGCGCCGGCTATTAGTAGGATTTTGTGTGTGCTGCTTGATTTGTCTTCGGAATTCGTTGGTTGGGAGGTGGACGTGGATGTTGCTGTTGTGGCTACGGCGGTGTTTGTTGCTTTTGAGCCTGAACCTGTGGGTTTGGCTTCGCGAGATTCAGTACTTGTTGGTTCTGCTGGAGAAGAAGAGGTGTAGGTACCGGTTTCGGTCTCGGCTACGGCGGTGGGAGTCTCGATTGAGAAGGTGTTAGAGGCTATGGTGGCGAGATCTTTGACGACTGATGCGGAGCCGACAGTGAAGACTTTTGAACCGTCGTTGCAACATGTGCTTCCATCTGAGTAGCAGCAGTAGCGGTCACCACCACATGAAACAAGTTCGTCGTAGGAGTTGTCCATGTCTATGTTGCTGAGCCAACGTAACAGTCGAGGATGAGACATGGGTATTTACCTCCGCCTTTGCAGTGCTGAAAATAGCTGCTACTCTGCCATAACTTGTCTGTACAAGCACCTCTAAACATGTACTCTCCACCAGGGTAGTAGCAAAGACCTAGAGATCAGCAGTTAGCGCAATTCTTGTTTGCTTAAGAAGGAACACATACCATTCGACAAATATTGATCCCCTTCGCTCAATGTACAGCAAGTCGTAAACTCATCCCCAGAGCACGGCACATAAACATAGTCTTCCGGAAACGTTCTATCAGGATAATAACTGCTCAAAATCAATTGTTAACCCTTATCGACGCATGACGCGCTACCCACCAAGAAGAGGGTTGTCGGCGATTCTCATACAAGTAAAAAATACGGTATTTTTACTATAAAAATACAGACGGTTGTCGTTTAAAATATAGTTAGTTATTATTTAAAATACACATATTTTAGAAATTAATAGTTTATTAAGCTAACTAGGTTTTTTTAAAGCTTTTAAACTATATTTATTACTTATATAATATTATATTAATTACTAGCTTATAAGTAAAATAATTTTAAGTTTAAAATTAATATTAATACTAATAGTAAAATTATTTTAAACTTAATTTTTACTTTAATTATTAAAATAACTTATAGTAAATAATATTTTAATAACTAAGTATTATAACAGTATTATGTATAAAAAGTTAAAAACTTAAAAAAAAGTATTAATTAATTACTATATATAGTATTAAGTAATAATTCAAAATGTTACATAAAAAAAATTATAAATAAAGTATTTAAATAAAAGTTTATATACTAGTATAAAGCTAATATATAAATATATAATATAATAAAAAAGTTTATAACAAAACTTTTTTAAAAAGCTTTTACAAAGTATTATAAGTAGTTACTATAATAGTATTTTTTTAAAAATTTAAGCTTTTATAATAAGTATTTAAGTTAAGTTTTAAATAATAAGTTAATTTAAATTTTAGAAATAATTTTTTTTATAGTAGTTATGTTTTAAAAATTGTTTATAAGTTACTATATTAAGTTATTATACTTAGTTTATTTAATAAAGTATCTATAGTATTTTTGTTTATAATTAAAGTATAGTTTTTTAATTTACTTAATATAGTATTTAATATTACTATTAATTTTAATAGGCTTTAGCAGTAAATTTTACTAACTTAAAAAGTATTTAAATTTAAATATAATTAGCTAAAGTAAAAATATATAGAAAACTAAATATATACTTAAAAATTTAAAAAGTTTAAGTTAATATATATATAAAAAAACTACTTAAAATATAGTATTTGTTTAAAGTTTTTAAGTTTAGCTTTTTAAATAGTTATTTAGTTTTAATATTTTATGTATTAAGCTAAACAATTTTTTTTAATAGTTAAGTATAAGTAATTATTTTTAATTTACGTATTTTTTTTTAAAAAACTTAGGCCTAAATTAATTTTTTTTTAAACTAGTTATTAAATATTAACTATTTTTTCTACTATATAGTTAGCTTCTAAAGCTTATAATACTTAGTAAAACTATTTTTAAAGTTTTATAAAAAGTTTAAAATCTATTTAAAAGTATTAGCTTATATTAACTAAAAATAGTAAAACTTTTATAAATTTAAATATAGTATTATTAGCTTTAAATTATTCTAAAAAAAAAGCTAGTTTATTTAGTTGTTTTATTAGTAATTTATGTATATATATAGAATTTATTTTATTATACTATTAGCTTTTTTATTTAGCTATTAGTTTTTAAGTACTATATAAAAAATTATTAGAATTTAATTTATAAATATTTATAAATTATATTCTTTTATTTTATATAATTGTTTTTAAAAGACTATAGTCTACTTATATATACTAGTAAAAAAGTAGACTATATTTATAATAATTATATTAGTATAAAAAATTAGGTATTAGTATTTTATAAAATAGTTTATTATAACTATAATATTAGTGTAGCCTTTAAATTCTAAGAAATTAGTAATAAAATTTATAAAAATATTTTTTTACTTTTTTTTTAAAAATAAATCAAAGTTTAAGAAATTATAATACTTTTTATAAAAGCTTTTAATTTTTCAATAAGTATAGCAACAAAAAATGTATTAGTATATTATCTTAAATATTTAGAACTAGTAGTATTTATGTTATAAAATTTTAAAAGTCTTTTTATAACCAAAGTAATAACTAATAAAAAAATTATATATAATTTAAAAAAAATCTTAATTTTAAGTTTATTATTATTTAATATTACTAATTAGCTATTATAGTATAACTAACTTTTTTAGTTTTTATATTTACTTAAAGAAAGCATTTTAAAGTATTAAATTCTATTTTATTTTAATAATAAAATTTTCTAAATAAACTTATTTGTTTTAGTTAAATTTAATTCTAGTATTTTATTAAAAAGTTTAAAGTAAAAAAGTATTTATTATTAAACTTTATAAGCTTTTTCTTAAGTTAGAGTATTTTATATATAGTAAATAAAAGTATTTAGTCTTTTACTTTACTTACTGTTACGGCCAGCATGAACCTGTAGGCAATTGCAAGTAGTTGCGAGCAATAAGGCGCTGTATTAGAGCTACTCTAGTATGAAGAAGAGAAAAGAAGAAAGAGTGGAAAAAAAGAGAGAGAGGTAAGGCTTTTATAGAGCACTCTCAGGATGCATGTGAAAGCGTAGCACGTGACTAGTAACGTCATATGTAACACGACGACGCAACAACGCGTAGTAGCGCTTCCCGTGAGTGTGTTATGTAACGGGTCGTCACATTACCCCCCTCCAAAAGAGAGTGGAATCGTCCTCGATTCTGTTGCAAAAATTAGCAAAAAGTAAAGCAAAATTACAGACTATTTGCCTTTACATTACTTCTTCCTTCTTGTCTTTACCTGTTTGCCTTTTTGGGCTGCTAAATTGTCTTCGTCCGTCGGTTCCAGCATCTCTCCTTGTTGATAAGCTCTCAGCCAGTTTTCTAGTCGTACAGGCGGTCCAGCATGATCTGGATACTGCTCATGGAAGTCCTGTACTTTGTATAGTGCGCCGATAAAACTTCTTACGTTATACCATATATCATTAAGGTTATAGCCTGCCCAGTTGGTCTTGTACTGCAGGACGCCTTTGTGGATGCGGCTTGCGAGGATTTGATTAACTTCGTACTCTGGCTTACCATTAATCTCGATAGGGTCATCAGGTGCCTTGTCTTGGCCAGGTAGGGGGTTGCCAGGGTCCTTGCGTAGACGATCAGTATGAAAAATGTTCGATATCTTCATGTGAGCAGGCAGGTCGACAACGTAGGAGTGTCCTTTCATGCTAGTAATAGGGTGTGGCCCTGCCATTTGAAGATTGAGCTTGGCGCTAGGGCGATCGGTTGTCCATCCTTTTCTGGTAATATACACTTGGTCTCCGACTTTGAAATCTGGCTTGCGACGGTGCTTGTTTGCCTGCTTTATTTGACGAGCTTGAGCTTTTGCTAGGTTGTCACGTGCCTATTCAACTGCTTTATGAGCTCTGGAAGCAAAAGCCTGAGCTTCCTCGCGAGTGAGCTGTTTGCGAACTGTAGGTGATTTATGTGTACGCTCGCGCTAGTTGAAATGCAGACAGGGTTTGTAGCCAAGCTCTATCTCATACGGCGATAGACCTGTGGATTCATGAGGTAAGATAGCTTGGACGAAATCCATAGAGGGTAGCAGGTCTGACCAGTTGTCTTGGTAGTGATTGACGAATGGTCTCAGTCTTTAGTTAATATACTAATTAAAGATCTCCATGTTTCTATTAGTTTGTGGATGATAGGCTGTAGAGAGCTTTTGCTTTACGCCAGTAAGCTTACAGAGTTCATTTATAAATGCGGAGACGAATTAAGGGCCTCGATCTAATGTTACTATCTCAGGCAGGCCGTAGATGCGCCAGATGTATTTATAGTACAGCCAAGCTGCTTTTAATGCGGTAACCTCTTTTATACAGGATAGTAAGAACGCTCGCTTACCTAAGCGGTTAATGACTATAAAAGCATTATCACGCCCCTTCTTGTCCTTTGGGAATGCCTTAAAATCGAAAGAGATGTGCTGCCAGCAGTGCTTGCCTATTAGTAAGGGATATAGTAAGCCTAGAGTCTTATCACGTGGGACATGCACACGGCGGCAGGTTCTATAGTTAGTGATATATGTGTTAACGTTAGACAGTAGACCTGGCTAGTAGTATTAAGACGAGAGCAGCTATCTGGTTTTCTTTCTTTCTGAATGAGCTATAACCTGGCGAGCATGAATCTCTTTAA